ATCGGCTAGGGTGAGAAAGAAAATAAATGACAACATGATGAGCCACTGTGTTAAAATAGAGTACGCTCATATATCAGGATATTGAGTCATCTTTATTTGGTTAGCTATAATTTTTTGTCTCCCGTTGCAACGCACGGGCATATTTGCTAGTATTAATAAAGCAAGGTGTGTTTCTCTAATTTTTTCATCCGTTCACCAATATTATACTTTTGAGATTTTTTTTCTACCCAAGGTGGTATTATTTTTTTTGGTCAATCCACACATATAAAATCACGACCAATTTTCCGCTCGCCCGCACGTAACTAGCCCATACACCCATACTGGGCCATGCAGCCACCCGACTGGGCTTTCTGGAAAGAGCAAAAAAAATAATGGGCCACGCATAGCGTCATCATGAAATAATTATACCACACTGGAATCGAACTCCTGACCTCCCCAAGGCTCAAACTCAAAGAACCAACTAAGCTACAAACTTTTGATGTCAAATTATCCCACCTCGAGTTTTTTAATCAGTTTGCACCAGTTAATATACCGGATGCGCTGGAAATCAACAAGCAGACCCAGAACATCACCTTCGTGATTGAGGCAAGCTAATTAAATGGATCGGCGAATTAAAGAAAGGATTGTGGGCTTAAAAGAAGGGAATAATATGGTCTCAGGTAAATTAAAGGAAATATTGTGGGATCGGATTTGGCTAATTGAATGAAATTGTGATAAATAGGGATACGTAAGGAAGGATTGTGGGCTTGATTGTGTGGTGAGGCTACTAATTAAAAGGAAGGGTAAGGAATGATTGATTGTGTGGGCGGGCGTACAACCATTGAGGACATGCGCCTTGCTCTCAGGAAGGAAAGGCTGTTAAAAGAATATAAAAAACATCCTGCCTCAGGTATTGATAAGAAAATAAAGATGCTACTGCCAGGAAGGGGAAAAAACTAACGTGATCCTTTGAAATCTAGAATAAGTGTCGTTTTAATCAAAAAATCATGCTACACTTACGACATCATCAGTACAATTTTTGTAGGACGCTGCCAATCAGACCGTCCAATTCTCAAGTCAGCCTCAAGTGTAGCACAACTTAGGGTTGGATTTCCCATTGTACTGGAATCAGATGCCCAAGTATCGTACGTGAAATAGTTTCATTAATTAAAAGAAGGAATTAAACTATCAACAAAAAATTTGGTCGTGCGCACATACAACATGGACAGTGACACAAAATTTAATTTTGTGTCAATTAAAATGTGTTTGTGCCTTTTCAATGATGTCCTCTAATTTTTAAAATCTTTCACGCATTTTAAAACGTTTGGGTAGTTTTAAGATAAGTGTTCACGTATTAAAATAATGTTGATATAATTTAAGAAATGCTCATCCTTTTCTCAAAAACAAACTTCATGTCATTCTAAAAAGTGTTCAACTTAGGGTTGGATTTCCTATTGTACTGGAATCGGATTCCCAAGTATCGTACGTGAAGTAGTTTCATTAATTAAAGAACAAATTGAACTATCAACAACAAACTTGGCCGTGCCCACATCCAACATGGAAAGTGACACACAATTTAATTTTTGTGTCAATTAAAATATGTTTGTGCCTTTTGAAAGGTGTCCTCTAATTTTTAAAATGTTTCATGCATTTTAAAATGTTTGTGTAGTTTTGAAAGAAGAGTTCATGTATTAAAATAAATGTTGATATAATTTAAGAAATGCTCACCCTTTTCTCAATAACAAATTTCATGTCATTCTAAAAAGTGTCCAGGTGCTTAAAAATATATTCATCATTTTAAAAATATTCTTGCTCTTTAAAAAATGTCCATGTGATTTAAAAAATATTTATGTGTTTTTAAAAGAATGTTGATGCATTTAAAATAAAATATATACAATTTAAAAGTGAGTGGGTGTATGAGGGATGATGTAGGCCGTATCTCGGGAAGCGCAGACGTTAGATCAAGCTCGACGAGATTAGTTTTCAAACTATTTGACATTCACTTGCAATGGTATGGTTCAATGACAGGTGTGTGTGTCGTGGTCGAGATTATCACATTGAAATTCACCACGTCGGAAGCATTGCTATCAGGTGTTCATCACGGCCATGATCGATGAAGGCTGGAAGAAGGATAAGCTACAACACGATTCAGCCGCTATGTTAAAATATATAATGTGAACATGTGGAGGGGTCTCCAGTCGAACTTATTGTGCTAGAAGCATGCACTCCTTTCTCTCGTTGCAATGCACGGGCATGTTTGCTAGTAAATAGAATAAGAAAAAAAAACAAAAAATGCAGCTTAGCTACTCCAGCAGCAACGCGGCCACATTCGAATCGAGGCACGACTCGACCGACCTCATGGCCTCGATCATATCCCCATCACGGCGCCGATCTCGACGCGCCTCCCGGTGCCGGTCGCTGCCTGGCGAAACCCCACGCCGTTGCCGCAGCCACCGACCAGGGCCCCGCTCTCCGTCTCGGCTGATTCAGGTGCTTGGCGCTTTTCGCCGTACAAGGCGTCTTCTTCAGCGAAGCGCAGGCGCAGGCGCCCGTCGGCGCGGGACGCACAGAACACCTTCCGCGGCCGCTCGACCGGCCGCACCACCTGGGTGAGGATGAGACGCCCGCCACGCCGCTCCGCGCGCATGAACGCCTCGGCCGGCCTCGGCATCGCCGGAGGGAGGCGCCTTTCGCCTCGCCGCCTCTTGCCCGCCAAATTCTGAAGCTCCACCATTCCCGCGTTGTGCCCGTCCTCGTCCACTCCGGCGCCGGCGCCGGCCGGAAGCTGCTCGATCTCCCCGCCGACGTCGCCGCTCTCCGACCCGAGGCTCTCTGTGCACGCACCCACGGCTTCCCTCTGCCAGTAGCCGGACACCATGGCGGCCGACGCCGACGCCGTTCGCCGCAACATAGATATATATTTCTTGTTTCTTCCTCTGTTCTCCGTATCTTTTTCCTTTCTCGGTGTGGATGGACTGAAGAGATGGTGTGAGGGCAATTCCTCCGCTTGCGTATGTTTCTGCAGCGTGCGCAAGTGGGCAGCTGATCTCCAACTGACGTGCTGGCCCACAGATATCGAGGTTCACCTGTCAGTTGCCTGTAGTGTCAACCAACCGCCGCCAAGCTGGTTGTTAGTTGATACAGCTGTGGGCGCCGCCGCTTGACCGGGGCCCACGCTACCCTAGCCTCCACGCAACCAGCTAGTCGTACTCATCGTGTTGCAGACACACGGGGTCCAGGACCCACCTGTCGGTGGAAGATAAGCCCTACGACGAGGTATATCTGGTCGTGCAGGGTCCCAGTTTTTTTTCCAGAAAACTTTCTATCTATTCATTTCAACCGTGGCAATTCATTTCAATCGTGGCAGTACAACAAATACAAGAAATAATAAAAATTACATCCAGATCTGTGGCCGAAATCACTATTTTAACCCTTTCAGCAAACTTTGTCACAAAGTGAACTCGACATGAAAGTATTTCACGATCTAACCCTTTTAGAAACGCCATAGCCCGCGGCGTTTCTGCCCAACATACCAACGCCGAGGTAGCTAGCGCTTCTATCTAACAAAGAAACGCCAAGGTAGCTCGCGTTTCGGACCAGATGAGAAACGCCAAAGGCCTTGGCATTTCTTCGCTAGCACCCAACCCACTCGCTGCCTCGTCAGGGTCTTCCTCCTCAGCTGCCAGAGACGCCAGGCCAGAAACGTCAAGGCTAGCGGCGTTTCCGACCTTCTTAGAAACGCCAAGGTAAGAAACTACTCGATAACCAGGGCCACAACGCCAAGACTTATGGCGTTTGTTTCTTGGTCAGAAACGCCAACGCCTATGGCGTTTCTTACATGGTCCAAAACGCGACCTACCTCGGCGTTTCTTTGTTGGACAGAAGCGCTAGCTACCTCGGCGTTGCTATGTTGGGCAGAAACGCCGCGGGCTATGGCGTTGCTAAAAAGGGTCAGATCGTGAAATACTTTCATGTCGAGTTCATTTTGTGACAAAGTTTGCTGAAAGAGTCAGAATAGTGAAAAAGTCCCAGATCTGTAGACCACATAGCACCGACTACAAGCAATGAAGCGAGCCGAAGGCACGCCCTCGTCGGAGTCGGGCACAACGTGTTATAGTAGACAGACGGGAAGTCATCGTGCTAAGGCCCAGTAGGACCAGCGCACCAGAACAGCAAACGCCGTCGATGAAGAATAAAGTAGCTCGAAAGGATCCAATCTGAAGACACACGAACATAGACTAACCACAACCAGATCCGAGCAAATCACCCGAGGATGGGTCCGCCGGAGACACACCTCCACACGCTCACCAACGACGCTAGACGCACCACTGAAATGAGAACTAGGCGAAGAGACCTTTATTTCATCTTCAGGGAGCCGTCGCCGTCTCGGCTTCCTGAGCAGGACACAAACCCTAATAAATCTCAAAGGAACGACTAACAACGGAGCCCTTCCGCCGGTCCTTGCCAGGATCCACCGCGTCCCATGGCCCTAGGGTCACTGAAAACACGGGTGGACCTGCGGCGGAGCCGGCGAGATGCACAAACCCTAGTTTTTCCTAGAGGAGGAAATTTCGTGTATTATCTGCAAAAAAGGGGGTACGGCGAGAGCACACAAAGTTACACATATGCCACGTACGTCCTGATGCAGAGTCACCGACGCGTGGGGTCTGATACACGTGGGACTCGCAGGCCAGGGGGGAGTACGGTTTTGTTTTTGGGAAACGTTTATGATCGGCGGACCGGCCGAAGCTTGGGCCGGTCACGCCTCGCTCGCTCAGGAAACTACCACACAGTCTGCTCGTGACACAAACGACAGGAAAGAGGTCACATGCATTGCGGGACCCACACACAATCTATCGCCACCTTATCTCTGCCTCCTCTCTCCCTTCCTCCTCCCAATTTCCTCTTTCTGCTCATCCCGATCCCCCACCACAGTGCCGATGTGCTCCTTCCGACGAGCTTTTTATCCATGGCAAGTGGAGGGCAAGACGTTGTAGGGCGACGACAGGGCGTGCGTCGTGAGCAGATGACGGCGATGCCGTTGCATAGGCACTGGACGACGGCTCATGGTGAGCGCGAGCGACGCCATGTCCGACGAATGCAAAGCGATGCGGCCGCCGATGGTGATGGGCACGATGGTGCTGCAACCGCAATTCGCCGCGGCTGCAACCGTGCCCCGGGAAAGCTGGAATCATGATCTGGCGAGCTGTGAGGCTCCTACATGCTGGAGAGGAGGGTTGCTACAACCGCAGCCAAAAAAGCTGGAAGCACTGTCCGGCTGTGCTGGAACCATCGCCCGGTGGAGCTGCAAGGTGATGCCCCTGCTGGCTGGATGCTGCAACCGTGTTCTGTCAGAGCTGGATCCATAGACTGGCGGAGCTGCAACCACAATCCAGCGAAGCTATGAGGCGACGCCCGTTGGCTGGAATGCTGCCATGGGTGGAAGAACAAGGGCGTGAGTTTTTTGGTACATTTTTTGTGTTCTTTTGCTGGAAACAACATTGATTTTGCTGGAATCAACCAGCTGTTTTTGTTTCAACCCACGAGATGGTGCTGGAATCTTTGGTGACCGCGTGCTTTTTTGCTGCAATCTTTTGGTGTTTTGCTGGAAATAGCATTTGATTTTGCTGGAACCGGCTAGGCGATTTGCTTCAACCGGCGAGATATGCTGGGCGGCGATTTTGCTGGAACCGTGACTTTTGCTTCAATCTTTGTGTTTTTTGCTGGAAATAGCTTTTGATTTTGCTGGAACCGGTGAAAGCAGAGATCTTGTTGCAACTGTCCAGCGGGGTGAGCGGCCACGACGAGCTGCACCTGCGAGCCGTCGTGCGGGCACGGCGTGCTATGCCTGCGAGCTGGGGGGCGGCGACGGTGTGCCGGCGAGCGGGGCAAGGGGGTCAGGGTGCCGATCAAAACATGTGCTGGATCTGACACGAGGAAGGAGGGGATGCGCGTGGGGATAGCTCGCTAATCGGGCGGTCAATGATGCGCTAATCGTGTGGCTGCGCGGGGACCGGCCGAATTTGGGCCGGTCGACCGGCGCCTATCAGCCGCCCTTTGTTTTTGCGCTCGCTCGTGGCTGGTGGAGAGTTGGAATGCAACGAGCCAAAGAGGGCAGCTCGGGTTTCTAGTTAGGTGATGTGCTGGATTGGATGGACGGCGGTGAGGTGCTGTGGTGGATTACTGATCTACGTAGATCAAGTACAATAGAATGATGTAAACGGAAATCCTTTGGAGAGCAAGTACAATAGGATGATGTAGGCGGGCTATAAGCCTTTAAATATTATATTTTGGATGAGTTGAAGAAGAGAGAGTAGGAGGGTGATGTGGTGGATTAAGATCAAGTACAATAGAATGATGTAGACGGAAATCCTTTGGAGAGCAAGTACAATAGGATGATGTAGGCGGGCTATAAGCCTTTAAATATTATATTTTGGATGAGTTGAAGAAGAGAGAGTAGGAGAGAGAAGGGAAGCAGACTATTGATTAACAACCGGTTGCAGCACGTGCTCCTAAGCATGTTGTGATAGACGGAGGTGGGCCGTGTACCAGAAAAAGTAGTAATATTTACATGCACTATTGTACTTGCCGCCTATAAATTTGGCTATAGATAATGTGGCAAGACCATATAGCAAACAACTAGCTATACTATTAACCATGCTCCTAAATATTATAGTTTGATGAGTTGGAGGAAAGACAAAAAAAGCAGGCTACTGATTAACAGCTGGCTGCAGCACGCACTTCTAGACATTTTGTGAGAGAGTGAGATTAGTCATATATCAACAAAATAATCATACATATTTATATGCAACTATTATACTTACCGCTATAAGCTTGCCTACAAATGATGTGACGAGATCATATGGCCAGCAACTGGTTATACTATTAACGATGCTTGTACGAAGAGCTAGTGGCTGCTAGCCTACAAGTGGCAAATAGGAGTAGCATGTCTAGCGTAAGCCGATGCCTGGTTTATTTTTATTTATTTTTGAATACGCACAAACATGTATATCATATGTTTAAAGAGAGAGGGTGAAGAGACCCTTCAACTGCTGAGTTACAAGAAAACACCCAATCCCACCACGAAAAAACGTGTATACAATTCACTCCTCACTCCTAACCCATCTAGAAAAAAAACCTGAAATAAGGATTCTAAATGTTGGGCTACAGTAGGTGCATCGGATGCAATATACTCCCTCCGTTTTTATTTACTCTCTATATTAAATTTGATTGAAATCGAATTTCGTAAGGTATGATCAAGTTTATAGAAAAGAATATAAACATTTATCATAACAAATCTATATCATGTGGAAGTTATGATGAATCAAATGATATTGATTTGTTATTGTATATATTAATATTTATGTCTATAAACTTTGTTAAAGTTTACAAAGCTTGCCTTTGACCAAAGCTAATATGGGAGTAAATAAAAACGGAGAGAGTAAAATTTTCCCAACGCGCAGATCAACCAGGAAAATGCTACAGAGATGAATCACAGATCCGTACCATTAGATGCGTAGTACCGTGCAACGAAAGTAGAGTTGGAGCAGGGCGTCCGCGGTGTTCATCTCCTCGTCATCTGATCTCCCTCAAACTGCCGATCGCTAGATCCCAGGAACAGGTTCGCCGGAGCGGCGTAAGTGTATGTAACACCCCCATGTATTAAGCTACAGTAATCCCTCATGATTATGCTAAATCATTTTGATTTGCAATGCTTAATCACCTGGGTTCAAATCTCATTTCAAATTCCACCTCTGAAATTAATTCAAATTTAAAGTGAGAATTTAAATTCACCAACATGGTTGGAAATTAGTTGATCTTTTAGCAAATATTCCAAAACAAATTATGGTTAAGGAAAACAACATCACTTGTTTGCTC